AAAAAAAAAATAATCGCACTGATTCTCTCCTTAACATTTTTTAAGTCGAACTTTTCTTTCTCCAGTCTCTTATGGAGCTGCCACTACTAACCCTCACAGTGGCGTTCTATTCTCTTCCAGTGCCATTCCTAGCAGGTGAGCTACAATTGCTATCCACATTTTGCGATACCTCATTCTAATATCATCTCTTTGAACTTTCTTTAATTGAGATATTTCAGCCATGAACATATCTTCGAGCCATTACTTTCTGTGGCTTCTGTCGTTTTTTGCCATAATTTACACTCATCTACTTCTGTGGAGACTGGTATCCAAAGCTTTCGTCTTCCTGTGCCCTAATCCTGGATTAGCGTTTTTTGGAACTGGTAGTGTTCAGACATTAGGTCACTGTAAAATCTTGTAGGGCATAATAATGTTAATTTAGTTGCACTTTTCACCATCTCTCATCTTACATCCGGACTCGTTGCACATCCAGCAGAACAGCAGTCCATCGTGTTCTACTCACACTGGCTATCACCTCACAGGTGGATTACACAAGCTCTGCTAGAATCGGAGTATCTGGGTGAGTTTTCCTACTGAGAAGAACATTTTTTCAAGGAGTGATATTTACACTTCGGTCGTTTTATTGAAATGGAAACTTTTGGATCATTTGGTCCTCATCTACTGACAAGTGTCTGGAAGCCCTAACTTGGCCACGCGAACAAAAGAAAGATGGGCAAATCTGACTTCACACTCTGAAACTTCCTCTAATCAATGAATGGGTAAAGGATAATGACTTTGAGAGTTGACAAATCCCGTCTGGGGGATGCGCTCATGCAGAAACACAGTGGTGATGGGCAGGAGCAGCGCTAGCGGCTGAATAGCTTGCACGACACCGACTAGAATAAGCTCTGAATTAGGTGAAATGAAGTCCGTTCAACAGGTAATCTACAAGTAAGCTTACCTGTGGGTCTATAGTGTCAGAGGAAAGTTAAGAGGGAGGTAAAGGGATCTACCGCTTAATTCTCTTCGATAAACCGACTAGTAACTGGCAGAGCCATCGGTAGAGGCAAAGAAGGCCGCAAAGAAAGCCATGTTCGCTAGATATGTAAATATTTATGAGGTCGGAGATGTCATTAAACATCCAACATTAGATTTGAAACTATCAATGAGCTTTTCAAATATCTGTCTTCAATTGTAGGAAGCAATGTAATCCAGACGGCCCTTGGAATTCCAGCAAACATTTCCGAATTAATAGTTGGCTGTGAAAGGAAAGAAGTGCTTGCGAAGAAGATATTAGATGTAAGTCGTACCAATTTTGTAAATTACTGGAGTACCGCTGCTTGTTTAT